TATTTTGACTAAAATATTCTTTTTTTCTTTATAATCATTAGATTTCTTTAAAATATTTATTTTAATTGCATAAAATTCAATAAATCTTTTTTAAAAAAAAACCCTCAGAGTAGCTGCGAGCTGTGTATTTAAAACCCTCAGAGTAGCTGCGAGCTGTGTGTAGGTTTTAATTGAGAATGATAAGAGGTTTAACCTATTAATTAGTATAAATATAGGGTAATGTACAATAATTAATATAGAGATTACAACATAAGAATAATAAACCTTTTCTAAATATATACAAGCCTCTACTATAGTATGCCTTCTTAAACAAAGAGTGAAGATTCTACCTAAAGTTTGAACCAAAGAATAGTAAAAGAGGAAGTGAAGAGAGGTTTTGTGAGAACATCTGCAAGCTAATCCTTAGAAGAAATAAAACGAATCTGAATATCCATTTAAAATAATAATCAGGAGACCGTTGAAAAAGACAATCAAAATAAAATCTATTGTTTAGGATAAGATCAGACATTCAATTGATATGATAAACTAAGGTTTCAAAAGCGTAATTTCAAAATCTTAATAGTGCTTTACATTATCCTAAAAATGTAAGACTAGTTCCTACAATATGTCTATAACGATGTTAAACTGTTCCATTTTATTCATAAGTATGAGGAAAAATCAAACATTAATGAATACCAATAATATGAAAGAAAGTGGATAACTTGTGGTATTCACCACTCTAATTAGTTTGAATAGATTTAAGTTTTAGTGAAAATTGACACTCAATGAGAGTTTGAAAAACAGAGAAAACATAAGACTTCACAACAAAAGCATAATACCATATATATTTTGTATATGTATAAAAAATAACAAAATAGTAAAAACTATCAGATAAAAAAATAGGAGTAGGACCCCAAACATCACTAAAAATTAATTCAAGTGGATTAGAAGTTTTGTGACCTGTAGGTCCTAAAGATGGACACAATAATTTTTCTAATGGACAAGCTTGACGTTGAAAATTGAGATGTTTAGAGCTACAAGCAATCTTATTTTTTTAGACTAATAAATTAAAAATATGGGAAGTAGGATGACTCAATTGATGATGCCTAGATCAACAAAAGTAGATACGCAAGGAAACCGATAAGCTTGAGGAATTGACATAGAAAAAGACTCGAACAAAACATAGAGACCATCTTTACTCTAACTAGAAAGGAGCAGTGCCTTGCTATTGAGATCCTTGATATAAAACAAAAATAGGTGAAATTAAAAATAAATATTATTATCAAGATAAAATTTATGAACAAAAAGCAAAGGTTTTTTAATATATAAGACATGAAAAAAATTAGACAAAGTGAAGGTACGATGTAGTGTATATAACTTAGTATGACCGATTTTAGATATGGAAAATCTCTTACCATCACCATTATGCAAGTGATCATTACCGAGATATAATTCAAACTTCGTCAGATTTGCAACATCAAATGTGACATATTGATTAGCACCAGTGTCAGGAAATCAATTGATATAACATATTGAAGAAATATTTCTTAGCACAAGATTTGCACTATACTATTGTTTATGAAGACTTGACATAACTGGCACCAAACATTAGACCACATTGAAAAGCCATGATGCCTCATGTTTTGCTGCTAATTTCCTTACCTCCAATCATTGTTGAAAGACCTATTGAAGCTGTGAAAATCAACCGAGAAACAAACCTATGTCCTTTATTGTTGCCAGTAATGGGACACCACCCTCATTGAAAGCATCCCTTGTCTTTATCAAAAGAACCAAAAGGCTGACGTTAGGGAACAAGAGTTGAGGGGAGTTGGTTTGGTGTGGACAGTAAAGGAATATTGATGACAACAGCACCTATGGATTGAAGGGAGGTCTTATAAAGAAACTCATGAGTTAGGAAGTGACTATGAAGATTTGCATATGAAAAAGGTTATGCCTTAGTCACGAGGCTTGTTATCTATTCTTTGAACTCACCCCAAAGACTATGAAACATATACAAACTAAACTCTTGTAATGAAACTAACTGGACAACAGCAACTAATTCATTAAATAATGCATTTGCGTTGTGTATAAACATAATGACCAAATCATTACCTTGTCAAATATCTTGAATCATGAAGTTACATAATATGAGCATTAGATGAAGAAGCAAGAGTTGGCTCAAAAGTATGCCAAACAGAGTTTGAGATTTGACAATTAGCAATAAGATGAAGAACATCCATTGAAAGAGAAGAAAGTAATGTACTTAGAATAAAGTGGTCTTGTTGTTTCAGATGAAGAAAAGAATGATTAACCTGAAGAGAAATGTCATTAGTAGCAACCATATGAGGAGAAGGACATGACAAGGAGCAATCAACAAAAAAAAAAAAAACAGCTTGTCCAAGGAGATATAACTTCATCTACATTTGTCAATATAAATAATTTATATTTATAAGTTTCAAAGAAATAACTTGATAAGTATTGAAAAGTGGAATAATAGCATCCACAAAAGCAAGATGCACAACAATAGAGAAAGTTTGAAAATTTAAAACATTCATGGTGGCAAGATTTCAGCCAATAGCAACAAGTTTTGTAGAGGCATGACATGAGCAAGAAAGGCCTTCAAAACAAATTAGGAGGATGAAGTTTGCATCGGTGGCAAAAAATAAAAGTTCATTATAGGAAAGAAAAAGGAATTTTAAAGTATCAAGATTTTGATACCAAGTTGAGAATAATAACAAGCTTAACCTATTAGTTATCCATATATATATATATATATATATATATATAACAATGTACAGTAGTTAATATAGAAATTACAATATAAAAATAATAAACCTTTCCTAAATATAAAATATATACTATCCTATACTGTAAGAGACTGGACTTCCAAAGACGGTAACCTTTTTAACCTTTAAGCTTCTTCTCTAATAACCAAATACCGCAAAATGAACGAAATCTAGGGGTTTCTCAATGTTGTAGATCGAATCACGAAAGACATGTTCTGGTACCTTTGTATTAATCTTCTGCAGCCGATGTCAGGAATCAATCTAAGAAGTTAGAATTATTGTCCTTCGGAGGCCATCAACTTGCTGCTGCTACACATGACAAATTGCTGTCGACTTCTCTGTCTAAGACAATTCATGGTCACTCTACATTAAATTGGATCAAATCAACTCCTTTACTTCCAATCTAAGGTGATCTGAGCCCCTTCATCGATCCCACAATCCGATACTAGTTATATAGCTAGATGAAAACCGCTTGCTATGATGTAATTGGCTGAGAAGTCTCAAATTAATGACTTTAATGAATTAGAGGAATAAATTTGATCCAATTCAAAATAGAGTTTGATTAAATAAAATGTGCAAAATAGAGGGACCATGCATGATTTTTATCCCACAGGAAAGCGCCGATGTAAACTTGCAATACACACACACACACACCAGCTTCGAATTTCTAAACATGCATCATATGACGCATTCATCTTCACAAGAACAAAACAACAGCAATCGGAATCAAATACTGATCTGTGATTTATGATTAAAGCAATAATTAAAATCAAATAATGTAATGGTTCCAAGATTGGATGTGCTGACTTGGTTAAACAATAGTAATTAATGAACAAATCAGCTGCTATTGGAGCTAAAGCTGGCTCCACAGTGTGAATGGAGAGAAAATTAACAAATCATGACAACGGTTTCATTTGGTATGTATTCTGCTGATAGCTTGCATAATTCCATCAAGAACCGCAGTGGAGCCCATGTTGTTGGTTTTAGGGTTGCCCGTGACACTCACGTCGACCAAGTAAACTTCACAAGATCGAATAAGCCAACATGGAAGCGTATTCGTTACTAAACTGTGGTGCATATTCAACAATAATTAACAGGCCAAAAACAACATACCTCTTTGTTTTACACTGAAGTTGTTAAAAAATCCTTAAAAAATTATATCCTCGCCATTTGCTCTATTATTTAATGTCTTTGGTTGGTCTGTTATTTATAGTTAAAAAATAATATAAATTATATTTTAAAATTTTACTTAATAATTTAAAGTTTTGGGTTAATTTAATTCTTCAATATGGTATATATACTTGATAACCAAGTGATCAAATATTTAAATTTTATCATCATTATTCATTTGATAAAAATCAAACATAAGATAATATGAATGTATTTAAATTTTAAACTCATAATTTAAAATTTAAAATTAAATTAATTCTTTAATATTTACTTCGTTATGTCTTGATCTTCTACACTTCTGTAATTTTGAAATTGTATGCATGATTTGGCTGGAATGGACGTTTAATTTCCGGGAAAATTAAGATGGAAACGATTTAGCAAAGCTAATTATTCATGGACGCATATGTGCATCAAGTTCATTAAGAGTAAAGGATTAAATTGTACAGTTAACAGCCAAGATGAATATTGAAGGGTGACAGTCGGGTACAATTAAAAAAAAAAAAAACCAGCTCGACCTCAGCAGTAGGATCTGGCCTGTACTTTAGAAGGGAGCTGAAAGACATATGGATTACCATTCATGAAAAGGAAGGTAGAAGAAAAGGCAGTCTTTACATTACTGGTTACTGGTTATGTGTTGTCTCAGCAAGTTCTTTCCTCCATCATAGCCGGTATGCATGCATGCGCACATTTAACAATCAGTTTTACATAGAAGAACATGTGGTCAAGTCAAGGTGGATTCTCAAATTTGTTTCCTCGTGAGACGTTCAAGCAACCATAACATCTTGATTCTGGGGACGCCCAGGATAACTGGAACTAGTACGGTACAGGGTTAAAATCTTATTGCTGACTAGACAGATACCATGGTAATGATGCTAGGACCAAGGAACATGGCAATTTGCCAAATAACCCCTACCACACAAGCATCCAAACGTTTGCCAAATATTGCTGCCAGCTATAAATTCCAAGAGTACACGTGGCTAAACGAACTTATTCTATTAATTATTTTCCCTCAATTCTGATTAGCCGACTGGATCTAGCTCCTTGAACGCTATAAAAACCCATCCCTTACAGCATCTCTCCATCACCGAAACAGCTCTCTTCTATAGTTTCAACTACTATAATTCACTAGAAATACTGCTCTTTTCTATGGCTTCCAAAAGCACGACATCACTTGCTCTCTTTCTTGCAGTCAACCTTCTCTTCTTCTCCCTAGTCACCGCCAAGAGTAGCAGTTGCCCCCCTCCTCCTAAACCCAAACCAACACCAACACCAAGCCCTTCCGGTGGAAAGTGCCCAAAGGATGCACTTAAATTAGGTGTATGTGCTGGTTTGCTCGGTTCATTGCTTAATGTCACCGTTGGCACTCCCCCAGTACAACCTTGCTGTAGTGTCATTCAAGGCCTTCTTGATCTCGAGGCTGCTGTTTGCCTTTGCACTGCCATCAAAGCTAACATCTTGGGCATCAACCTTAATATCCCAGTATCTCTAAGCTTGCTTCTCAATGTCTGTGGAAAGAAGGTCCCCAAGGGTTTCCAGTGCCCCTAAAAGTATTTTTATTCCATCATGCATGGTTTGCTTAGTGTGTGATTTTTCATGGTGTGAAGTACTTTGATTTTCTATTAAGAATCGTGTGATGTAAGTGTAACAGCTACTTGCTTTGCTTTGTTTCAGTGCTTGTCTGTTTACCGCCAATAAGTGTAGCTTCCCTTGATAATGTCTACTCCAGTTTTTTTTTTTTTTTTATGGAATGAATGCCGCGGTTGAATTTGATTAAGATGTAATTCCAGTTATAAATCCTTCTTTTTGTTTCTTTTTAGTTACAATTATTTGAAGTAAACTTGCAATTCTTGCCTATGATTCTGCATATGACAAATTGTTGCATACTTGAACTCCCCACCAGTCAGTATTATCCAAGAAAGAAATAGAAAACGAGTGTTCTTGAGTCCCTTTTTAGTACTCTTACCATCCGAAGAAAATTTACGAGAACTCAAATTCATCTTAGAGAAAACTGGATGAAAAGAATGCATTAAGAAAGAATAAATCTAAATGGTGTCTATTTCTTATCCAATATATTCGAAGTATACAACAAATCTAATGCTTGTGATTTAATCAAAAGTATTCATCTATTATATAACTTGGAACGCCATAGGTTCACCCCTTACTCGTATCATTGTACCATAACCAAAAGAGGAGAGCATGAAGTGTTTAACTGTTTGTACGCACTGTTCAGCGTTTTCATAGAGATGCACGGGGGTGTTGATTTACAAAAAGACTTTTTTGCTTAAAGAACGTTTTTAATGACATTACAACAGAAGTTCAGGCCTGTTTGAGCAAAAAAATATTTCCAAGTTGTAGGGTTTGGCTTTAATTTGCTTTTAATTTTACACATATATTGCTGTCTTACTCATAAGACCTTGATTCACCCATCAATAATAATTATATTTCAGGCAACGCAGAATTGCAGGCACTTAAGAGAAATTTATAGTACAATGGAATCAATGATCAGGGTTCACAAAGAGAGCAAGGAAATGAATAAAATTGCCTTTGCAAACTGAGTTCACGATCCACATATAACATCACATCAAAAGGTTACCTTTCTAGTTGGAGGATCGTTTGTAGATCTATTGTTGATGATTAGTTGTTTCAATAAATATGACAGCATCTGTTTCCATATTCCCTGCTGCATTAAGCCATGGAATTCGAAACACCTTTTCTAGGGAGTAGGAAAAATATAGCCACTACAAATCATAAAAAGCCTCCTCCAAAACTACCTTTAAAAGGGAATCCGAAAGAAAGTTCACTGCTAACTATAGTAAGGCTGCTGAGCAGTGTGCTCAGGGAATTCTTTTGTTGCTCCTTTTGGGACTCTTGGTGTTTTCTAGTTACAACCTCATTTCTAGCCGGTGTTTAATCTTGAATCGATGGCGGTATCAACGATATTTCTACAACAGAAATCAGAGCTCAAGGCGCGGATTTCAACATTGAAATCCACGATGAGGTTACAGTTAATCCGGGTTTACCCTCTGAAAGGGGGATAGGAATTACAATGGCATGTAATAATTATATCAGGCTTGAGTTTTTGGCAGATGGCATGGTTGGGAAAACATCACATGCTCAGTACTGCTCGTTGGACAAGTACATGTCTTTTCTTTTTTTTAAGGTTATGGTACTGCAGTTGCAGGGTTTATTTTATAAAATAATGTTCTAATAATTATGCCAAATTTATCTGGGAATTTCTCTGCACACTATGAAAGCATCCCTTGCAACTAGAGACGATAATGTTTAATTCTACTTCTCCGAAGTATTGTCATTAATTAACTTGATGTATGCCTTCAATGCCAAGAACACAAATTTCAATGTCATGTGATAGATTTTTTCTTTTCATTTCAGGAGTAACCGTATCCATCTTATAAGTGCTTGATCTAAGCTTTGGAATGACACAACATTTTAATTTATTTTTGGAATGATTCAACCACTTTCTCCATATTTTGGAGCACAAAGAATGTTTCTAAACTCCAAGTTGCTTGAAACTGAAACACGATTTCTGTTGGGTTCACCCAAAATAATCGACAACCTTTTTTTCAGAACTTGTGTTAGAGACACCCTTGCCACTATTCACTATTATTATTATTATTATTATTGCCACTATTCACTATTATTATTATTATTATTATTATTATTATTATTGTCCCACTAATTAATCTAAACTTCTTACGGAACCGAGCCATGCTGATCAGTTATAAGTCTATCAGAAAAGTTCGGATAACACTCGTTATTGATGGAATCATCAATGACGTAGATTTCCTTGAAAAATTCTGAAAGTTCAAAAACAATTATAGATTTTATCACTAATAATATATAAATTATCAACGGTTTTTTTTGCCGGTGATATAATATATTTATTAGTAGAATTATTGACAGAATAATATGAATAATTTTTTTGTTTCACACACCTTTTTCATTTATAAATTCATTGGTATTTATATTATAAACATAGTAACTGATAAAATAAAAAAACATAGACAAGATTTGTTACCAACAATAATTATCCATAATTTTATTAATTAATATTTTTTATTAGTGTCTAAATAATCATAAATGAATGAATCATATACTAAAATAAGGATAAAGAAGCAACTTTATATTAAATGAAAACCATGAAGCACTATAGTTTCTCTGCTTCGAAATCCATGTGAGGCCCCAAACAAACGTAGCCTTGTTATCCTGTGATTGAAATCATTAGACTAAATGGTATAAAACGTTCTCATTACAACCCATTCAAACCACAAGATTTTCCTCAATCCTCTATTAAGGCACTTAAATAATTGAAGTAGGACTGATTTTCTCGATTTTCTTTCGAGGCCAAAACTTTGCATCTAATGTGATAGTACTTAATCCTAATTTTATTTTTCTTTTGAAGTTTGTGTCTCACTCATGGATACCTCCATAAGCCAAGCCAGGTTGTTGTGTTAAGTGCACCCTAGGGTTGATAAAGAAATTTAGCAGCATAATATGATAAATATGATAGAAAACACAATCGGACATTGTTAGCATAGTTTGCATGTGTTAATCAGCAGCTTTAGCATGTGAAGATTAATTAGTTGAATCGATCAATAAATAGTTAGAAGATTAGTTCATTGTATAAATAATAATTAATGGGAATTATAGAATCCGAGCAATAAGATTGATCCTTTTTGGTAGTTAAAGTTGATGGTTCTATCTCTATCTCTATCTATCTCTCAATTTCTTCTGCTTTTCCATTCATTTTTTTCTAAACTCACTATTTGTTAAGAAAGATTCTCAAGAATGGGTATCAGATCAGCTTTCCAAGGTAAAAGAAAGGCTGCTAGTGTTTAAAAAACAATCAATAATAGTGGAAACAATAAAATAAAGGCTTTAGAAAGGCATGGAAAGAAGATATATGAACAAATTAACTTCAAGTTGGAGACCATATTGGCTGCATGAAAGACATTGGCAATCTTAGCGTATATGTTTTGAAGTTAATTAATTATTCGTGTGTGATATTAACTTTGATATTAATTTTGTTTATGTAAATATATTTAATTTTTAATAAAGATTTTTTTTAATATCCATCAAATATTTATTTAATTAATCTAGAGTTAAAGTAAAGTTATTGAGACAAAAATATTTTATAAAAAAATTATAAAATTAATATAAAATTAATATAAATATATAATTTTTATTGCATTAAAGTATTGTTTATAAATGTACTTGATCAATGTTAAGTTAAGATTGTATATTAATTAGAGTTATTAAAATTAATATATATTAATTTCTTTTCTTTATGAAAGAAAGAAGTTGTTGTTATGAGTTAAGGTATGAAGGATACTTAAAACTAATATGTAGATGCTTATTAAATGAAATGTACACTAAATTGATCTATATAAAAATTTTATATAGAAAAGTTATGTGTATTTATTAAAGGTTTATGTAACAGTTGTATAAGTAATTTTTAAATTTGAGATTACTAAATTATCTTATATAAAAAATATTATATTTTAATTCTGCTATAAATTATTCTAATTAAGAGTAACAAATAAGTAAATATTAGATATAAAATAAATTATATTAAAGTATTTAAATAATAAAAAACAGGGCAGAACATTGTTGACATTTATTCCTCAAAAAATATCATTATTGATGTTAACTAATAAGCAAAGTTTTATTTTGGTATTTTTTATCATTACTCTTGCTTGAGAGAGTAAATTTAGTCTTGGAAAGTTTTGTTAATTTAAGTTGAATTTGACTTTTGATTGATTTTTAAGTTGTTTAAGATCATAAATGATTTTTTTAAGGTATCTAGAATGTTTTTTAATATGATTTTAAATAAAAATTGATTTGAAAATTAAATTTTTTAGAATAAAATATAACAACGTCTAAGTAATGGCAAGCAATGTATCACACTTTTTAATGACATGCAGGCCAGGTCTTTTTTTTATTAGACTAGGTGCACGGGCTAAAATGTACCTAACCTATTTTGATTTCTTTTTTCCTTTCTGAAATCATAGTTTTTTTAATTATATTATCGAGAGCTTTTTTTAACTATCATTCATTATGTTTTATTTTAAAAAAAATAAGATTTAATCACTATTTTTTTTTATTAAATATTGTTCAATCTTTTGTATTTGTAGATTGTCTATAGCTTTAGCACTCTTTTTTTATAACCCTCCATGATGGTTTTCTTTTCTACAATTTTATTCAGTAGCTTTCAATTTTATTGTTGTATAGTTACATTAAAAAAATCCAAAAAAATAAATTATTAAACTCATCTAAATTAATCTAAGTCAATCAAAAATATCATCATCTCAACATGTAAAAGAAAGCTTAAAACAACACAATCTTGAATCTTGAAATTATTTTTTCTCAATCAGGTTTAAACTAGATAAATCAAATTAGATTTTAAATAAATGATATCAGGTGTCCAATCCACTTCAATTTAAAACCCAAGTCAGTAAAGGCCTAGTTAAAATCTCTTAAAACTTAAAACTTGATGTTTAGTTATCATTAACAACCTTTTTTAACGATTATGAAAGCTTTTAATCCTTCATTTGTTTTATTAAATGGACGCTTTAAATGTAAGTTCAAAAGGCATGTGAAGAAGCAAAATTGTGAGAAATAGCTGGTTCTAGATTACACCGCTGTGAGAGGCATTCAGACTCCATGGGATTCTTGGGGTATCAACAACGCTGCATGATCATCAACCTCCACCTGTTAAAAAGAAAATTGTCAAGTTAAAAGGGTAGCATTCGTCAAGGGACCTTCATCATAACAGC